GTTATGTGGTCTTGAACTAAAGAAATAGTGAGTACTTAGCAGGCTCTATATTAGATGCTTTACTAATAAGTACTCTATCTGCCTCATTTGCCTCTATTCCAGGTGAAAATCCTGAGGTTTAGCATGATTTCTCTAAGATCCTACATCTATGGACCTAAGATTGATATCCAGTTCTATCGGGCTGCAAAGCTGTTACACACAACCCCCACACCTTATTTACTTTACCCCTTTGATCTCCAGTTTTCATATGCAGAAGGGTTAGGTGCACACACTCTATCAGTATAAGGAATATGTAATGTATAAGAATTAAGATCCCCCTACCACACCGTAGGACACTAACACCTCACTATCCTAAACGTTAGGGACCCACTGCTTAAGGACTGGTTGTGTAGTACTAGTTCTTGGAATTGATTTTCATGTGATTTCTCTGTCAGTAATACTTTTTTTTTTTTACCTTTTTGGAAGTTTTCTATTTCACTCTTGCTTCCCATTTAGGCCTTTCGTTTACTTTATGGTAGTTATTCGATCACAGATCAACCAAACCCTTCCAACATTCGTATCCTTCCTTCAAATATCTACTCATCAGTTAGTGCCTGGGTCAGTGTGGGTACTTACCCAACACTGATGAATAAATTAATGAACTTTTTTACATTATTTACATTGTTATTTACCTCTTCTTCAAGCTAGTGTCTTTCTGGCACAATAATCTGTGTGTGATAAGAAAACACTGGGTATATCCTAGGCCTGGGACACGTTTTGCTCAACGAAGGACATGTAACTAAATGAAGACTGAAAGCCTAATTTTATGCATTTGTGTCTCCTTCCAAAAATATTTTTGAGGGTCACTTACAATTAGACAAAGACTACAAAGGTAAGTACAATAAAATCTATCTCTGATATTGGTAAGCACACAACTTTTTTAGAAAAAAATAAAAATGAGAACAAAATAACTATTATTCACAGAGATCGGTGGAGGGTACTGGTGGTAAACAGGAAGGAATGTTCTAATCTTTGCTGGGGGAAGTGGACACAAAAAGGACAGAGAAGTTATAGAAGGTGCCCGAGAGCTAGTCAACAGACTCCCTTGAGCATCCCTGTGCATTTTCCAAGCATCGTATTTGTGTCTGAGAAGCACCAGATATGTATACAGAGATATTTGCTAGGTACAGAGGGCAGGCACTTGTGGTCTTACAGAATGCCTCATTGAATTTCTGTGGAAGTTTGGGTAATGCATCAAGTCATCCTAGAAAATAATTGTCAGTCTTCAAAGAAAATAAGAAATGGAGCTCTTTCATTCTGAGTAATAACTGCGCTCAGCTCTTCACAGCAATTAAGCAGCTCCATCCACCGTAATTGAGTTAGCACACAATGCACCTCAAATATTTATTTCTCATGATTTCTGTAGCCATGGCAGTTCTAAGAGCCATATTGCCATGGGGGTTTAAAGACAAATGGAAGCTGATTTATAAGGTACTAGTTCCATCAGGCTCTTGCCTACAATCGAAATAAATCTGCTAAGACATCAAGAGCATATATCCAAAAGACATATCCCAAGCAAGATGGTTTAGTGAAAAATGCTCTGAATTCAGAAACCAGAGCCAGGAGTTCTGATACCAGGGTGCCATACCTTCTTTTGTTGGTTTGGAGGTAAATCAACTCTCTCTGTGGGACTTGGGATTTTTCAATCCATTAATATACATTTGTAAGACAAATGACTTAATGTATTAATGCAAGACAAGAGCATGCTTGCAATACCTATTTCATAAAAGTTTTAAACAAGGTAATTAATTAAACATTGGAAAGATAAAATGCTTCAAGACACTTACTCTCCTATTTTTAAACCAGTGACTATAAATATCACTTTAAGAATTTCAGAATCTGAGAATACACAAATTCTTTCATTATCCAAATTTGCCCTTGACCAAAAAAGAACTAACTTGAGGAACAGGTGTTATATTGCATTTTATTAGATAATTAGCTACTTAGAAATTCCAACAATATAGCCTCCTGTGCACCAGAATGAAAAATAAAATTTACAAATTATAAATTACTGTAATGTTCCACTATCACCGAAATAATGATAAACATTCTTCATATAGGTATAATAGTTGATATGTATAACATATCTTATATTGTCACATTTCTTCATGTACACATAAAAGGCACAATTTAATAAGTTAATGATGTTCACTTATATTTTAGGGCAGCACTGTACAGTGGAAAGGGCACATGTTTTATAATAAAAGAGTCCTGGTTTCAAACTCTCGACTGGTATCAGCTATGTGACTTTTGGCCTATTTTGTTTGGTTTGTTGGTTTGGTTTGGTTTGGTACCAGGGATCGAACTCACGACCTCATGCCTACCAGGCAAGCACTTGTGCCACTGAGCTAAATTCCCAGCCCTTGTTCCATTGTTTTATACCTTCCGGTCCCAAGTTCCATTCATTCATGCAATGGATCTAGACTTTCACATCCAACACAATATGGTGACCATTAAGTGTGCAGTGCAAGCATTGGCCCTCAGCTCACCCTCCACTGTCATAGGTAGAGGAGGACCCTTCTTCTGTAGCCAGTACCCTAATGATGTTTTAAAAAAAGAGGTTCATGTTTTCTGGAAACTCAGCTTTCAAAGAGAAGCTGTGTCAAACCCTGCTAATCCAATTCTGTTTTCAGTGCCTCTTCCTCAGAGACTTTTAAGTCTCAGTGCTCCCAAGATCTCGCAGGGCTGGAGCAAAGGCTCCTCAATCTAATTTCATGAGGACCCAGAAATTTACAAGACTGGCCTGCAGTGGTCACCCACCGAGTCAAATGTAGAAGCACGCAGAAGATCTGGCCCCTCACTAGAGATCTGAAGGACCCAGCCAAAGGTGTGAAGCCCACGGCAATGTCCTGTAGGCGTCTGCATCAGGAGGCCAAAGGAAAACCAAGGGGTCTACACCAGGAGGTGGAAGGGTCAGTGCTAAAGACTGAGAGTCTAAAACCACGGACTGAAGGCCAGTGCTGGAAGCTGAAAAACCTGCAGCCAAAGCCAGGAGACAATGCACAAGGCAAAGGCAAAGCGACTCCTCTTCTGAGGAAAATCAGCCACAGCAAAGCTCTTCCAAGGAAAATCGGCTGAAATGCTCCCCTCCCATTCTCCTTTTTACACTGTTCCAACAATTCTCATTAAAGTGGGTCTTCCACAGTCAGAACCATGCTGACTCAGATCAGCTGAGTGTTCCCACTCAAGCTGACAACAAATCGGCTAAACACCACACAATCCTAGCTTGAATCTTCTCACTGACTGACTTCCCCAAATCGTGTATGCATGGTCTGAACTCAACTAGCCTCAGGGACTGTTTCTTCTGCCACCATAAAACCTTACCCAGTATTCTGTCTCTAGCTCCTCGGCTGGCCTCACATCGCCTTCCTTTCTCCATTGTCCTTTCTGGCCTATCAGGTGCCTTATTCTCTGACATAGACACTTCACAACGTTCCACAAGGAGAGAGTGAAAGTTCCTGTGCATTTTTCCCCATTACCTAACGCAGATGGGAGTGGCAGGATACTGGGGGTTTCCTTGCAGGCTGCAGCAGAGACGGTCTAGGCCACCCACAGCGCCTTCTCCCCATGCCGCCTGACCTCTGTGCTTAACCTGCTTCGCCATCTCTGTCTCCAAACTCAGCACTGGCTGCATCCTGACTTCCTCCAGGACCTACTCTGCATGCCCGTTAGGTCCTAATGCCTTTGTCAAACTGGTTTTACATAGACTATGTCACTATGTTTACCATGAGATCAGGGAGTATTGGGAAGATGAATCCCAAAAGAAGCGATGATATATTTTTTTTCCTTAGCAGTGTGTATACCTTGACCAGCAAGAATGGCAGGTGAGAAATGGAGAGCCAACCTTCAGCCTGTAGATTTAAGTGCCTCATTTGTTTTTAGGGTAAATCACCAAAAAGCTGTAGTAGTCCTATGTATGTTTCCTCCTCGTGCTGCTCTCTTTCAAGCTGATGGGTGGAAAATACAAGCTGAAACACAAATCTGAGCTGAGAGGCGTGTTGATGGTGCCTGAGGATACACATTTCTGCATCTCATTTAATTTCTTCTTCCTATTCCTTCCCTTTTCCTCCCTCCCTCTTGGGTCCTAACCACCATTACCTCCTCACCTTTATTCACGCTCTTCCTTCCATTTCTCTTTTACGTGGCTAAGACTAACTTGTCCTTGTGGTTTGCACACCACCCTTGTCACCTTCTGTGACTTGCTCACCATCCTTCTCTGAGTTCCAAAAACATTCTATTCCGCCCATATGGTGCTTATTTCTAGCACTCCTCATTTAGTTGGTTAATTGGCTGACTCCCCACCTAATGAGTTATGTTTTATAAAATACATAAATTAGTTAGAGCACAGCCTGCAGGCAGGAAAACTCAATAATGGTTAGGAAGTCATGGTGGTGTTTATCCCTTTCCCACTGCGGCATTCTGTGGCTTGAATTGAAAGATACCAACCACAAAAACACCTTTGTTACAAACTAATTTTATCTTCCCTTATGCTAATTCACATTTAATACCTGAACTGGGCTCAGGTGTGCCGTGGGAGGAATGAGTGATTGCTGTGTGGGAGTACCAAGCTACAGATGCCGGGCTATTCAGGTACAATTGTATTGTCAGCAGACAATCGTTCTAACTCTGAGGCCTGCAAAGCGAATCTTAATTCACAAATATGGGTCAAGGAAAAGCAACCTCTACAACTTTGTCCCCAGCACATGTCACATTCTGTGATTGACTGTTAACTCCTCCAGTCAGAGGGGCTTAGGCACCCCACAAGTTGGGGCTGCTATCACTCCAGCAATAAATGTTCTCTGAGAAGCAGTGCCTAGTTGCATAATGTCTATCCACAAAATCCTTAAGCAGCTGGAGCGCAAGAACACACCGTTTTGCCATCCTTTTGAGAACATTCTCATTCTCTGCCTATAAAAAGGTAAAGGAATAGGGAAATGAAAGGGTCCCATTCCCAGACATACCTCATGTTGTATCTGGTCACCACCTCAGGCCCTGGAAATCTCCCTATAAAAAAGAAGACAATGAAGAACATGCCATGTGAATCCTTTACTTACGAATTTACCCATACAGTCTGCTCACACATAACATGGGGAGGCTGTCATTTTCTCCAGCCCCCACCAGTGACTGCCTTTAATTCCCTGCCAACCATCTCAAATGAATTTCATCAGTCTCGTTAGCAGGTGAGATATCTGGAGCTCAGGTCATTTAACCCACTGTCTGAAGGCCTCACTAAGCAAAGATTCAGGCAAAGTTTGTCTGACACCAAATCCTTCCTGCCTGTCCCACCTGACTCCCCTGGAGATGGGCTGTCTTCTGCTAATGATTAGAAAGATCCCTCCCCAGCCCCTTGCCAGCCCAGAGGCAGAGACTCTGCTGATCCCCCTGACCTGCAGGTAAAGAGGAAGCGAACCTCAGTGGTCTGACTATTATGATCACACAGATAGCAGCAACTTTCCCTGTTTCTAAGTCATTGCCAGTGTACAAATGGTGCTTTGGGGCATGAATGGAGACTCTAAGGAAGGAGGTGATGCCACAAAGACTACACATTCTCTACCTGTTTGTCCATAAAAATTCAAAAAGGGCTAAACGTGCTCTATGAATTGAAGACTGGGGTAATCTCTAAATCATTCCCATGCATCATATGTCACTTCTCAGAGGGAAAGAATATGCATTAAAGAGATTTGTTCAATCTTAAACCTGCTTCCAAACACCAAGATCAATGTGGAGGCTGATTAAGTTGTGCTCTATAGATTTCTGCAGTCAAGTTCATCAAGACACCCATTTCTCTTCCCCTAATGATGCTGAACCCCAAGCTCTTCTCCGAAGTGCTTTAATTTTCACTCGGTCATTGCAGGAAGACAGTGACTTAATGAAGCACAAATAGGAAAAGAAAGTTACATAAATCATTTTCTTATCCCTTTTTGTGGTCTCACCATGGTGTTCTTTGCTCATTACCATGCCTCCAGTGGCTTTTTTGTTCTCAGGGGTGGAAATTAAATTATAAACCACATTTTCAGCAATATAACGCCCATGAAAACATAAAATCATCAGGATAAATAACAAAGATAAATTAATGTCAACACAGCACAATATTATCCTATCCTGTGTTATAATAAATTCCTCCCAGCCAATTCTACTTAGATCCTTTACGAGATGATTGTCTTCTAATATATGTATCTGTATTTCAGGGCTACTGTCTATGAATGCACATTTCACAAAGCCAACTTCCAGGAGGAGAAACTATTGTACAGCATTCTTTTTATATTTCCTGGCAGACAGTCCTGTCTCTCAAATGATAAGATAATGAGTTTGTGGCTTGAACACAGCTCTGTGTTTGAAAGGTAGCATTGAAAATTAAAGTGAAGTATTAATTAAAGATTAATCAAAAGTGCTAGACCTCTAGTAAGTCCAGCGCTTTTTGCTTAATTCTGAATGGCCCACTTTGAAAAAGTATTTGAACCTAACTAGAATTTTAATCAGCTGGATAGAAGTTGGGAGAACAAGAGGGGATAAGAAAGAAAGAGAAAGAATCCTGGGGGTGAATTTTAAAAATGCATCAAAGGCTACTGGAAAATAAGCTCTTAATCTGTGTTGTATTGGAGGGAAAGACCCTGAGTGGAGGGCAGGATGCTGGAGCTGCTTCTGGTCTACCTGGTAGTGGTGTTACTGGGTTGTAATAATGAGAAGTGTCACCTGACAGTCACTCCCCAGAAGAGGCTCTGGAAGAAGAACACAGGAAGCCACACCTGTGTTTGGCTCCAGTGGGCCTCTCTAAATTCAGACCTCTTCTTGCTAGAAAAATAGACTCCATTTGTTCCAGAACTTTCCATGAAGCTGAGGTTGCCCTGCCCCTATCTCCCACGAAATCACGGATATAAGAACTGAGAAAGTCCACAGAACCAGTCAACCTTACTTGCCAGCCTCCATCTAAACTAACTTCCGCAAGGGACCAGTGCTGTGTGATTATCCCCAGCAAGGGAAAAATCACTTCTCTCCAAAGCCATTCATTCGCTGCTGCCTACTTCAATTTGCATATTCTTTATATTGTTCCAAGTTTCTCTCCAGTCATATGATCCTTGCCTTCAGTCTACAGAGGCAACTTGCAAATGTAAAATCACCCTTTCACACATCAGTCTTGCTGATATTTAAAGACAACTGGCATAATGTTCTTGGGTGTTTTCCAAGGAAATCCTCTATGGTTACCAAAGAGTCTGCTTTTGACCTTCTTGTCAAGGGCACAGGTGCTCAGGTAAAATGCAAAGAGCCCAGGTAGGTGTGTGTAAGTGTGCCCTGACCTTTACTGGGCCTGTGCCCTTAAATAGATCAGGGGCATATCTAACCCTCTGGCTCTTCAACTGCCAAAAGATGTTACTGAGACTTAGTGACATAATCAACGTAGCACTGTCTAGGCATACATGTGACAAATAGCTCACCCCATAAGTGGGCTCCTTCTGCTCTAAAGTCCTGGGTTAGGTACATGTACTATCAAGTTACCCTCACAAGAACCATGTGTCAGGACACTCCCCACTAGTATTCTGCCTTCCTCTTAAAGAGTTATTGTTTATCCTATGCACCAAGAATCTGTGTTCCTACAGCATTCCGTTCTTCACAGTAGTCAGGGGGCAGCACTACTACTATTCCCATTGACAAGCAAAGAAAGACAAGTTGGAAAGTCTTTTTTCAGGGCACGATGGGCCATGGAGGGAGCCAAGAATCCCTGCTATTGGGTCCAGCTGAAGACTCTGAAGCATGTGGAAGTTGTCCTAGGGGTAGTGGAAGTGGGAATCCTCTAGGAAAATTCTCTTCGACTGGCAAAGTCCCACTGCCAGCTCTGTTCATATCCTAGCTGCAAAGGATCCAGAAAACAAAATTTTCCTAGTCTCTATTTTGAGCAAGGAGGACTTACAAGATGACATATAGTCATCCGTCAGTATCCATATAGGATTACCATCAGAATCCCTGGTGAAAACCAACATTGTTGATGCTCAAGTCTCTTATAATAAGTGGCAGAATTTCCATACAACTTGTGAATATCTTCTCATATACTTTATGTCATCTATAATTTACACCTTATACCTAATTCAGTTTAACTACTATATAAATGTTGTAGCATATCGTTCAGGAAATAATGATGAAGAAAATTATCTACATGTTCAATAGGGCAATTTTTCTGAAAATTTGCAATTCATAATTGGTTACTTCTGCAGATGTAAAACCCACGGCTACAGAGAGCTATGTAACTGAGATATAGGAAGGCTGCAGGGTAGCAGAGTAATAAATATGCAGTGGAGAAAGAAAACACATGTCACTATCCCTTAAACCCATGTAATCCAGTCTGTTTCTTGGCTTTTTCTTCTCTGTTACGGGTAAAGTAAGCACAGTGGCATGTGCTGGCCTCTTTGCCACAGCAATACCTCAGTTTTCTGTCCCTGGAACTCCTATAGCCCGGTTCTACTAGTGCAGGGATGGGCAGAAAAATAATAAGAATAACAGGAATTAGAAATCTGAGCAGATGGAATTGTAAGACTGGAGTGGATTTCAGAAATGGCTTCTTAAAAAGTATCATAATTTTTCTAAATCAGAGGTGGGAGAAAGAGAAAGAGAAACAGACAAAGACAAAGACAGAGAAAAGCACTCCAGCTCTAATAGGTGCGATACTTATGCATTCAATAGAGAAAGTGTGGGAATTCCCAGCTTGCTCTCACCCTCAGTCACCCACCTGAGCTCCTTTCTTGACATCTTTACATCTACATCTCCAATTAGGTTGGAGTCCCTTGTGAACCTTGTAATGAAGTCACAATCACCTCCTATTCTAGGAAAGAACAAAGCCTTGAGTGTCATTCTCCCCTGGATTGTAATCCAATCAAAGGCCTTGAACAAGCCAGTTGCCTCTCGGAAGCAGAGTTTCCCAGTTTCTCCAGTTCAGGTGATAGTTATAAGTGCCACACTGGACTAATTGGAGAATTAAAATTTTACCACACTAATCGTCTTAGTTACCTTCCTGTTACTGAGACACAATACCCAACACCCACAATTTAAAGGAAGAAAGGTTTATTTGGCTCACAATTTTTAGAGGTTTCATTCCATACTCTGATGCAGGGAAGCATTGCTCATGGCATGGCAGAAGGAAACAGAGCTCAGGGGGGAAAGCAGGGTGACATATTCTTCCAGGCCACATCTCCAGTGACCCACTTCCTCCTCCCAACATCACGTTTGGCCATAAACTTATTAGTCAACTAATTCACTGATGAGTATTAGTCTGTATAAATCATTTCCCCAAAGACACACCCATGATCACATGAGGCTTTGTGGGGGACATCTAGATATAAATTATAACATTTCACACTTAACCCCTAAATATCCATGCATATCTCTGTATGAAAAATGCATTTAGTCCATCTCTAAGATTTGCCAAATTCCTTACAGTTTCAGCATTGCCTCAAGTTCAAAACCTCCTCTGAGACTTAAAACAAACTCGTACCTGTGAGCCCCTGTACAAGTGAAAAGAAAAGTACACACTCCCAACAGAAAAAGGCACAAGGTAGGCATTCTCATTCCAAAAGGGAGACGAGAAGGGTAGAAAGAAATGAGACCAAAGCAATACTGAAGCCAAGCAGAGTAAACATTAAATCCTGTAGCTCCATATTCAGCTTCCAGGGAAAGTTGTGATGAGATGTGAACTCCGAATGTTGTGACTGGCTCCACCCCTGTGGCATTGCTGATGGTTTTGATCCCCTCTTGGGCCATTGTGTGCTCACTCTTTGCAGCTTTCCTCAGATGAGCTGTATCCCTGGCTCCTCCAACCTTCTAAGGCCTCCCTTGTACTTTGGCTTCACACTCACAGCATCACACACTATCCTGCCAGGGGCACACTGCTTGTCCTCCCAGATCTTCTGAAAACTGGATGGAAACCTGCCTGACCTCACAACCTTTGCAGTGTGTATGCACGTAAAACTTGCTGCAGAATCACTTCCCAAAAGCTCTACCTATGAGTACATAATGCTTTAGAGAAATATCTGGGTGTGAAGCATAACACTAATGAAGGAATCTAGCACAACACCTGGCATATAATAGGTACCTAAATAAATGTTAGTTTCTCTTGTTCCTTTCCTTTTTTGCAGTTCTGCTTTGAGCAGTGCACTGCTTTTCAGTTGCACACTTCCCTCCTGGCTGCTTTTCCTAAGCATCAGCACGTAGCTTTAGATTTGTTTCCTCATTGCTGCCTTTATGTCCATGGATCTGTCTTTGCAAGATGTTACAGGAGAACTCCTTGGAATTCTCACTGAACACATCCTCAGCATGTCACTGCTCATTTCCGGTAGCAGCTTTGAGAATCTATACTTATAATGAATCTTTACAGTAAAAGAAGTTTTAGACTTATCAAAGATCTTAAAAGTTTTAAAAAGCACAGGAGAAGTTCATTTATGGGATGGTGGGTCTTTGAGAGGTTGCCCTAAATTAGAAATTTCAATGGTATTCTGTTTGTTTGTTTGTTTGTTTGTTGTAAATGGTAAGAATAAATAGTTTAGGTTTTACAAGATACAAATGTCTTATTGTGTATGCTTTTTGTTCTTGTTTGTTTTAATTTTTAAAAATAGCTTGCAGAGCCATGCAATCACAAACAATAGGTACAGTCTGACACATCTGAGAACCAGAAGTCTTAAGGAAATGAAGAAATAAAATTTCTTACTTAAGAAGTAATAAAAAAGGCTGACATTTTGTAAGCACTTACTATGTGCCATGCACTGTTTACAGCATTATATAGATGTTAACTCTCCATGCACTATCTTAGACATCTTGTAGATATTAACAACTGGGCCTGATAAGTAGTATTAGTCCATATTACAAATGGGAAAAAAGAAGATTAAGCAATTCAAAGAAAGGGTTTACTCATCCAGTAAGTTTTAAAGATATACTTCATAAACAAAATGTATTTAATTATAAAACTGCCTGTTTAAAAGATAATTTTGCTTTCAGTGTTTATTTTTCTTAAAACCAATTGCCCTTGAACCATATTTGGTTAGTTTCTATTTCATGTTTGTTTCCTTGATGGCATTTATTTGGAGGAAGTCTAACTATTAAAAAATGTTAAATACAGGGTACTTTACTTTGGCTATAAAATGCTCCAGGAATTCATTCATTCAATATTTTTCTTAGTCTCCACCCAATGCTAACACCAATGTGGGGCACCAAGAGCGACAGCATCAACACATTAGGAATCCTGGCCTCTCAAAACACAAGGTTGAGTGAGGAAGATAAACATGCACACTGAGAAATGAAATGCAACTGAGCATGTTTTAATCAATTGTTATCTAAAGGAGCAAGGTGAATGGGCCAGGGAGTGCTCAGACAAGACAGGACAGGAGGAGGGCTGCAGAGGGAGGTGGCCAGGTGTGGAAGGATGTTCTGTGTAATCCCCAGGAAATCCACTAGGTACTATGACAGGCCACCAGCCTCTCCCTAGTCACACGGGGATGTGTTGACTTGTCCAGTTCCAGACCAATAACAGCGAAGTCCCACACCTCAATGACTTTGTAAGACAGAAGTTTGTCCTGGCTCATTCCAGTCCAGAAAGCCCAGAAATCAGTGACAGGAGGGTGTTTGTAGGAAAAATCAGGTGTGCACAGACACAGGCTACTGGTGACTCTGCTGATTTCAAGGCATAGCTTCGCATTTATCCCAGGGTACGGACGTCCTGCCAGCATATGGGAGAAGAGAACATGAAGGAGAGAGTTTCATGGACCAGTCTCTGGCATATATTTATCTGTTAGATTCAGTCTCTTAGACAGAATGTCTATGGCCACATCTAATTACAGGAATTGGAAATAAGCTAAGTAAATAGCTCACAACTTCTGCCACCAAACTACCTGCAGAGCTCGTAATATGTATTAGCTGTATGTTTAACTATGGGGCTAATGATTAGAGTTTGCCAAAATATGCCCCTGGAGCTCTGTGAGATTTCCAACCCCAAATTTGGAAAATCTACATACACCAGCAATTCTAACATCAACAACTTTTTCACATTTTAAAATATTTAAAATAATAATATATTTTACAGTAGATGACTTCTTACGATTATATATATGAATTTCTCTCCAGTGATAGGTAATATGCATAATAACATGCAAATTAAATGCTCTGAAAAGTCCTGTAGGTTGAAATGAAGAAGGGAAGAGGTAATATCTCCTAAAGGAATTAGAACAAAAGTTTTTAATGTCACTTAAATTTTTCTTATTCCGTAGATCACATGTTCCATGGTGTTCAGTATGCCAAAGTTACTATATATACATATATATATATATGTATATATAGTGAGCTTTGGGTTCAGATCAAAGCAGGTCAGTGTTCTGCTGGCTGTGGTTTACACAAAAGATCTCTGAGAAAGAGAGCAAGTGAATTGGTGAGCGTCCAGCATGAAATGATAGCAGAAATTAGGAGACTGTGACGAGGTTTTGGCAGAGGGACCGCTTACAAAGCTGTGTGCAGAGGACACAGAGCCCAGCACTGCTCTATGCTGGCTGTCAGGTGACCGAGAAGGCCAGGTAAGGAGTGCTGACGAGAGGGGCACAGCGGCCTCAGATGGATACAGGAAGCCCAGTGAGACCCTGAGACGGAGGGGACATGGAGTAAGTGTGCTGGCCTCTTGCTCCCTCCTCGCTGCAGTGTCCTCAGCTGGCCCCTCCTCAGTCAGGTCCAACTGGAAACCAGAACGATGGAACTGAAGCTGATATGTAGATCCTGCCCCACCCCAGCAGAAGTCAATAGGAAAAGTGGTGGCCGGATGAAGTTACAAAACAGAAAATCTAGCAGGAGGGGCTTTATGGATATATAGAAAATTGGTGGGTTATGGCTGAACCCTCCCAAAGAAAACCCAACAGCCTCCTAAGCTCCACATTGCTTCCCATCTGATGAAACCCTTTCCTATCTTCTTTTGTTTGCTGACCACGACCACATGAGGTACACAGAACAGAGTAGGTATCCACTTTGTAACACCTGGAGAAGCAGCCTCCCTATTTACACCGGGAAGGTCATGCTGGGAGTCCCAGGCAGACTTCCCTGGAGCCAACCTGGTCTTCTTTCCACCATGTCATTGATACTCCTCACTATCGGTGTCTTGGAAGGGTCACCTCTGTGAAAGGACACTGTTATTAGCCACTTCTGCCACATACAGCACTTTGTACTTTGCATCTGCTGTGCAGAAATGTTGTGGAAAATCCACAGAAACCTCTGACCTCCCCGGTGTGTAAGTCCATTTCTGCTGGATGGACTCTAATGCCCTGTTGTCTTTCCAGCTAGTACTTCACATTGTGCTGTTTCCTGAAATGCAAACACGAAATCCACATAGCCAAGGACCAGTATTTCTATCTCTGAGTTTCAGAAAAGGCAACACAGAAGCAGTGACTTGCATGTAAGCCTTTAAAAGGCTAAGGTTAGGGTGTGTAAAATGGGAGAAGAGCATGGATAAGATGTTATCACTACATGCAATGCTTATGCCATTCAGAACAAAAACACGTGTGAGAGTAAAACCCTGCAGGACCATCGGATCATAAAAGGTTTGCTGGTTAGAAGTTGGAGTTCTGGAGAAAAACTACCTGGATTCCATCCTGATTCTGATGCTCACTAACTGTAGGATCCTGGCCAGGTTTCTTAACTTCTCTGTGTCTCTGTATCTTCATCTGCAATAGGTAATGTACATAAAAAGATGACCTTAGCGCTTATCTTCTGGTGTCATTGTGGCGATTACATGAGTTCAAATGTGTGACGTGCTGACATAAGT